AAGGAAACAAAAACATTTATTTTGCTACTATCAAAATAAATGTATAATTTATAGTATTACCTCTGACACATTCTTTTGATATCTCCGATGAGAATCAGAACAGTTCCAGTATGTCCAAGTGCCTTTGAAAATGGCACTGTTCTGTGTTGTGCAGACTAAAAGTTTGTTTTCACTGTTAAAACAGTTTCTAATTTATGTTTTAAAAAAGCTTCAGGAGTCAGGCAGTTGCCTGCTCTGTCAGAGGCTGTTGAGTTAAAACAAGGTAGAGTGATTTGTCTTACCTCAGTTTAGCTGTAATGAGTATTAAGTGGTTTATCTATGTGGAAAAAAGTTACTGAGCTAGATTACATCCAGGTTGAATTACACCCCGTTCCAGATGGAGTATGTATTTAAGACAGTAAATCTTGAGGAGGGCGGACAATAACAGTAATGTTCTTTTTTAGGCTGGAATGTGACTCTTCTACGTCTTGGAGAAAATGTGCAGTGCTACATTCAATTAGATTTTCAAAGGCTTTGTGAAGAAATGGGACTTCAGGTTTTACAGCTCTGAATAATTTAGCTTGAAGCAGCTGCACTGTACAAGTGATCGATGGCTCATGGTGATTATGGTTTTCATACACTTTGCTGTTGCGGGTAGCAGCCTGCAGGCATGATGCCGTCTCTCTCGCCAGCCATCTCTTCTGTACCAAGTGTGATGGTTGGCTGTGACAGGGGGGGTGCTGGGTGTGAGGTGGGATGTTCTGATGGGAAATTTCTTCCTTCTGGTACCATTGGGTCCACTAAGGCACCCATTACTCATGCAGCTGTGCTTGTGGCCCTGAGGAGTAGCTGGAGGAGGATGTTGGTGCTGTTGGCATCCCAGGTGGCACCGACTGCCAGACCATCCTCCTAAAAAGCTTATCCTTGACCACCTTGCTTAGCCTTGACTATGTGTCCTTGGCCTTATCTGCTTCCCTGATACTGTACCTCCCCTTCACTGTGCTAGAGCTAGCTGGCATGGCTGACCAGCCAGGCTAGGACAAAGTGTCAGGTCAGTGGCAAGGCTCCAGCAGGCATGGGTGGACTCAAAGTCAGTGACATGAGGTTGTGGCTGGGTGGTTGTGCTGTGGATATGCCCCAGCACCCGGGTCTGGGGGCTACTCCTGCCAGTGAGGAGAGTGCACTGGGGCTGGTGAAGGTGGAGCATTCCTCACAGCGTGTGGCAGGCTTTGACAAGGCAATGCGGACCATTTGTTTAATTTTAATGAAGGGGATAAAGGGGGTCCAAGACATCAGTGATTCAGCTCTGCTGCCTCTCCTGAGTGGGTCAGCAGGGCTATCCTTGCCCTATGGCTCTGGGGGAGGCAGGAGAGGAGGGAAGCTCTGATAAGAGGAAAGTCAGAGGCAGAAAAATGTTGGGAATGTGTTTCTTGGTCTAATGTGGGAGAGATGCAGCCTAGGGTTTCACTGCTCAGCCCGGCAGTGTTACTGCCTGCTGTCATGAGAGTTACGGGGTTTTTAAACCCAAGATCAAGATGCAGATGGCTCACCTGACACCTATTTCAAAACAGGCAGGTCCAGAAGATGGAGGCAATTAGTCTCTGAGGGCACAGCAAGGATGGTGATGGCTCTGAGCGCTGTTTCTCAGCCTTTGCCTGAGACGGAGCATCTTCTGCTGACAAAAATCCTCATTTGCTTTCTTTCTTTTGTTTCTTCCATATATTTTATGTTGCTGTGGGGTGTTGTCTCACTGAGATCAGATATTGGACATGATTTGGGGTTGAACAGTAGTGTTTGAAGAGTTCTAGTATATCTCAGAGCAGGCTTTCAAGACTGGGGGTAACGAGTGTGTCCTGGGGATGCAGGGCTTGCCTTCCCAAGGAGTACTTTTTTTTTTTTTTTTGCAAGGGATATGAAACCAAAGTGAGGAAATTATTCTCTCTCAATTTCCTTTTCTTTGGCAGATAATCTCTATTCTTTTCATCAACCAACCAGTCAGTCCTTGTAGCATTGGGGGGCTGAACACAACAGCTTCTGTGTCACCATTCATCCACTTAACATACATTTCCTTTAGCTGTTAGCAGTGCTGGAACCCACCATAAGCACATATTGAAGAGGTTGCTCATGAAGTTCAGGTTGCCAGCCTCTACCTTGGGTCACATCCTGCTGTCCTTGAAAGCAGAGCTGCTGGAGAGGACTTGCTGCAGTTTGTCTGTTCTCCATTGGCACAGAGCTGTGAGAAAAGAGCTGGTTTGCATCAGAAATAAGACACGTAAGCTTTTCGGGTTTTGGTTACGGTGGACGTGGTGTGGTATCTCACAATATAAACACTTGGCAGTGGTAAAAGAATACAAAGGTGAGGGGGATCACTGCATGTAGTAGGCTCCCTGCCACCTGGGAAGTGGGTTTTGGCTACTAACAGGCAGCAGGATTAGTCAGGGCTATGGTTCTTGTGGAGTCCATGTCTGTTACTGGCATCGCATTGAGATCTTTAGCATTATCTAGCGTTTTTACACTTGTTCATGCAAGTGTTGCTTCCTGTGCAATTTATGCTCACAGGGAATGTGCTTAATCCAGAGGCGTATCTCTGATTCCCAGACGGGCATGGATGGAGCCTTTCTTTGACACCACTTTGAATGCTTCCTTGAAGTTGCTTTGAATGCACCAATACTTTGAGATAAAAATCAGGATCTGTTGTATCAGGATCGCTTCATTCATTGTGTAGAAGCACTTGACTTTGCTGCTGCCCTGGCAGAATGCAGGTACAGGGCAGGCAGGGAAGGACACTTTATCTGACCAGATCTACTGTTGGAGGCTGTTGTATGCAGCACACAAGTGGAATGGTGGAGTCTCTGTCTTCAGGCAATCTCTCTTCAGGGAACTAGAGACTGTTCTTGAAACTGTTTAGTCAAACAGTGTTACTGGACTGAATTTAGGGGTAAGTTAACAGAGTGTGGTGGCCTGAGGTACAGAGGTGGTCAGACCACGGGGTCTGTGGTCCTCCTGGCTTTGTGTTTAAGATACTCTAACTCCCCTCTTGTCCTGCTGGAGGACAGATTCATTACTAATTCAGCAAGTTGTTCAAGCTGGTGCTGACTCTTGCTGACTTAAGCACCAGTCTTCAGCAGCATTATACTCACCACCTTTTGATATGCATGACTAAATTCATGATGCTGTTGGCATGAGGCTTTGGCAGGGAAGGTACTATGGATTGATCCTATAACCTATATAAGCTACTTGGTTTGCCCTCTTCTCTGACCTGGAGACCCCTCCCATATTGGGGTTGTTGTTGGACAGTTTGTGGTCCCTGCAGCTGAAGGTGATACTCCTGTGAACCTTACCACCACTTGAACTGTTCACTGAACTTACATAGCGTCCTACAGTGTCATCTTAACCTTTTCCATGACAGTTTGGATTTCCTCAGTTTGGACAAAGCACAATCCAAACAAAAAAGGGAGCATGTTTCCTCTGAGAGTATTTGTGCTTTTAGATGGGCACTTGACTTGATCCATCCTGCTGTTCCTTTATGTGCAGTTTGGCACTTGTTTATGGCAGCACTTTTTCAAGCATATTCCAATTATTCTCTTGAATGGTCAAAGCACTCTCAGTGATTAACTGTAGCTTGCATGCTAGCTCTTCTGCTAAACTGCCCCCAGAGTGGCCAAGAAACAGCATCCAGGCTTGTGCTGGAGTGCATTCGGTGGCTACTGGCAAAGGCAAAGACAAGCTGTTTAGCACAGAGCCAGCCTAAACCTCATATGTGTGCATGGGCGCATGTTTGTGTGTGAGGAGATGCAGGCAGTGGTGCCTGCTAACCACAGTGGGGCTGATCCTGAAAGGTGCTGTCAGTCGGCAACATGCACCAGCCAGCATCCTTAACACCCTCTTCTCATTGACTTATGCTTGGTAAGAAGCTCTGTGGTTGAATAGTGGCTTTTGCAGTCCTACTGTGATAAATGAAATGAGGTAAAACATAATTCCATTTTGCAGAGCCCCTTTAGCAGTGCAGAATTTGTTTGGGGGTTTTTGTACCCTTAAGCTGCAAAACCCTTTTCCTGCTGCTGTAACAACCCTCAGCCTCTGCTACCAAAGTGGAGGAGAAATTCTGCAGACAGCTGCACGTCTGGAAGGAACTATTGCAAACCACTAAGCTGTGATGAAAATGGAGAAAAGGTTTTCCCAGGTTCCTTTGTTTTCTTCCCTTGGAATTTGCAAGTGTGTTGCTTCAAAGCACGTTTCAAAACAAGAATCAGATGTTTTGGAGGGCAGTAAGCCACCCACATGGCTCTCCAGTAAGTTATCTTATACACCAGGTGACCCTATCCTGTGTTGCTGTCTTGCTGCAATGAAAAACTGGCCATTACATTCTTTCAGGTTGAATATTGCCATTTTATGTGAGGGTTTTCTGCATTTTATTCTCCTGGAATTTTTCTGTTTAGTATTACGTGCTTCCACTAGAAAAAACAGATGTCCTGGGCAGGCACTTGCTGTGTGCGTGCTGCAGCTCTGCAGCCTTGCTGTACACTGTTCTTCCCCTTTTACAGTACTAGAAATTGTGGCAGTGATCTCCTTGTAGGGCTGTGCCAGCAGCTTATTTTTGTGAGGTTTTCAGTTGTTTTTGAAAGAAAAAAGGCACGTGTGTGGAGGGGTTGTTTGTTCAAGCCTAAAAGGAAATGTTCTGTTGTTGAATATTTTGGTACGTTTTACATGAATGAGAATGGCTTTCAAAGCTAGGAAATGACTTGTGTAAAATCACGAAAGACAGTATTTCAACTTTACTTTCCTTCTCTGCTCCCTCACCCCCAAACCAGGTGGCACTGACATGTACTCACAGAAGATGTTGCTGTTGCTGAATCTCAGCTTTTCGGCTGAATCCCTTACTCACCCTATGCACTTGGGGTTTTATTCTTTTGGTCTTTCTCAACCATGCCTTCCATGGACTAGGAAAACGTGTCACTGTCTGTCAGTACTTGCCTGTAACTAAAGAAGCTTAAATGTGTTTTTTTTCTCTTTTCCTAAAGATTCATCTTCCAACTATATCAGGCAACTTGAAACAAAAGTGAAACTGCTGGAGGATGACAACAAGCTGCTTTCCCAGGTAGGTTTTTTATTGCCTCGTAGATATTAGTGTGGCTTAGTTTTCCATATAGTTGTGTCTGACTGCCCACTTGAATACACAAAGGCTTACCATGGACATCCTGACAGGGGAAGAGCATAATGGACTTTTCATATCAAGCACCCACTGATGGAATTTGGTTTCCTTTTGTTAAAAAAAAAAAACAAAAAGAAAAAAAAGAGGAAAAAGGAAAAAACCCTCTGTTAGTGTCTGTGTGTGTTTCGGAGATGCCTCCCTGCAGAGCACCTTGATCTGCTGCTGCTCTAGGGGATGCTGCGAGGGTCTGGTCCTGCCGATGTCCTTGCTGTAGGATTTTGTCTTGCTTGCCCATTTACATTGACTTTTATCTTGTTGAAAGAGGAGGCTGTAGTCAAAAGACAGCCTTGGGAATAGTTTTGTGTAGTGCTGGCTCCCAGCTTTTATTTTAGATCTTGCTTAAATCCGAACAGACCTCTCTAAACTGGCACTTTTTGCTTGCATCTGCCCTTCAAAGTCTACTCCACGTGCCAATGGACTTTTGATCATTCCTGGTGCTTTCCTATCTGTATACAGCAATGTCAAGCAGTGGGAAGAAAACAGCTATTCTGTCTGATATGTCCCCTGGATGCCCCCACAAAACACTGTGCTTACTGTAGATAGGGGCAGCTTTGCTGAATTCAGCTGTCTGTTTAAACCAATGGAAAAGTTAGCCTTTTTCTCTTGTTCTTTGCATCCTTTCACTGTTGTATGTTCTACCTCCCTCACATTTTAAAGTTTTTTTTGTATACTTTGTTTCTTACTTCAAGCACTGAGTTTCATGGTCATTTTGTTCCAGATTCTTTCCAATTATAAAGACTGGAATAAAAAAAATACCTTCAATTATTTAAAATTAAAAATACCTTTTTGCCAGTTTATGTTGTGCTGATCTTTGCATTTCACCAAGTCTGAAGACAGACTGCTCCAGGATCCATGTTTCTAAAACATCCCTGTTAAAGGATAAAGGATCTATGCTTACTGAAATATCAGTAAAATAATTTTGTCAAACCTGGATTTTACTGAAGTACACATTTTAAACTGACTGTGAGCTTTTTCTGGTGGTTACCCCAAATTTCGAGTGTGCTCATTGGTATTGCTAGCTGTGAAACAAAACTCACAAGGCAACAAAGGGTTAAAGCCCCCAAAGGGTGCTCAACTGAACAGCTGCTGAGTGGCTTCGTATATTAATCAATTGCTAATTCAATTTTAACTCCCTTTGTCTTTTTTTCCCAATCCTGAGAAAGCTGGTGGCAGTTGAAACCCCAAGACCATTCAATTGGAGCTATTGATAAGCAGACGGGCTGTGTGTGGGTATCTGGGATGCATATGGATTCAGGAATGGGCTTTATGTGCCCTTGGCCCAGCTTTGTCCTGCCACAGCTGAGCATCAGATCTGCCTTATAAGGTCAAAAAAAAAAGTGGCTGGTAATTAATGGGTGGTAAATTAATAGTGGCTGAATAGCTGCCTGGACTTACTGCATTGAGAAGATGAAACCCAGTCAGTCTGGGGGTGCGTGGGGCTGAACCAGCCCCATGAGCCCTTCCCCTTCCTGCTGTCCTGGGTGGGAAGGCTGTGCCTTTTCCTCCATGTGTCTCTCCTCAGGTGTCCTCACCTTTCAGGCTGTGTCACTACGGATGTTTGAATCCAGGAGGGAAATGATTTTAAAACAGCTATGTGCTATGGTGAAAGCCAGTTGCCCACCGCACTCCCAGCAGCAGCAGACACCAATGCCAGCCTGGCTGTGACCTTCTGTGCAACCCCTGTGCGATGTCTTAATGGCCTTCCAAAAAGACCAGGATCTGATCTATTTTAGATCACACTCGGGAATACTTCTTTTTATCATGTAAAGCTTTCCTTAGGGCAACAGGAGAAGAGCTGAAAGTACCACACTCTGGGTAAACTCCCTGGGAATACTGAGCTCCAAATCTGTCATGCTGCAAACCTAGATTTGGATTTTTTCTCTTTCAATGAGAAAGATGAGGAGTATCTGTATAGGCACAAACTCACATGCATACACGCATATTGCTCCCAGCACTTTCTTGGAAAAGTATAATCCACTTACTGTATTCTTACTTGCTCCATCTGATTGGAAAGCGTTTAGCTGTTACCATGCGGATCTTGGGATAAGACTCTAGTCAAAAAGGATCCTGGCAAACTTTCTTCTGTTTGTAAAGCTGCCTGGTGATCCTGGCTGTTTGAACTCTGCAGTGCCAAACTGCCTTGTCAACACCAAAGTCACATTTTAACTTGGCTTGGCTTTCTCCCTGGGAGTATTGACATTGCAATAATATTTGCAGTCTGGTGTCAAGAAGTTCTATCACCAGCATGCTGAGGAGTGATGAAACCTGACGTCCTAAGTAACAAACAGTGCCTGTGCATTAAAGGATTAACAAATCAGTAGTGGTTATGGAAGTCTTTCTGGCTTCTCTCCAAGTGCTAAACATAGAGCTGAAAAAGTGCTTCATCCAGAGACACCCAAGAAGGCCGGTGCTGCAAATGATATTGGAAGTTTACAGGAAGATTTGTATTACAGTGTCTAGTGACACAATGCCTTTGCTAGGTGGTGCATCCTGAGTGAGATTTCTTGTGTTATCTTCTTTGGCATCTGGGGCTGAAAGCTATGCTGAGAGGTACTGCCTTTGTACCACCTTCAGGCATGGGATAAAGTTAGTGTAGGGGTCCCTAGCCTGCACTTTTTCTCCTGCTTCCTGACATCTCGTTTCTCTTCCTTCAGAGGAAGAGCTCTCCAGCCCGTGCCGAGGCAGCTGCTCTGCCCTGTATGTGTTTCCCACTATTTCCTGCTGTAGCACAGGCATGCTGGGATTCACAATTCTGTTTTTCTGGTGACTCATTTGAACAGATCAATGGCGAAAGCTTTTCCTCCCCTTGGGAGATCAAGGAGTACCATCTCATGAGCCACACTTTTTAGTAAGAGGAAATTAGGTGGAGAAGTGGATGTACTTATGATATCCATGTATGGATTTATCTGGCTCTTTTGTTTTGTAGGTAAGGAGGTCTGTATTTGAAGTTGGGAAGTGAGCTTCTGACATTGTTAACCCATCAGTAATCATTGCTCTTCCCACTCTCCTTTCTCTGAGCAGAAATGACCTCAGCTGTATACCTTTCTTTGACTCAGGTTTACACTGTAATGTTTTGCTGGCATTGTATTAACTTCGCTTATTCAAATTTGTTAAATTTGTTAATTTAAATTTGTTAACATTGCTGGCTGTGTTCACTAGGAAGTCATGCTCTTGGATAGCATTGCTCTGCTGGCAAAATCCCTGCCAGCAGCTATAACAGTGTACAGCTTTTGTTGCCCTGGTTTGTATGGGCTAGGGAGATGCAGTAGCACGTGCCGCTACCAGAAAGGGCCCCTTAATGCCTGCTCACCAATGGTGGTAGGTCCCTGTGATGTAAACACAATGGCAAAGCCCCTCCAGTTGAGATGGGAACATTAGTGTCCTAGAGTAGATAGTGTCAGCCTTTCTCACAAGTGTAGCTGGTTTCTGGAAGTTTTAGTTGAGGTGTAGTGAAGATGAACGTAAGCTCTGAGGCATGTTGGGTGTTGGCTTTGGAGAGCTTCACAGGCATCACTTTTGTAGTCTCACGTTCTCTAGGGAAGAAGTGCACTAAGTTCTGCAGTGTGCATGCAATTAATTTATGCAACATCATGTTGGAGAAGTCCTGCTTTTCCACTGTGTCATTGTGGGAAGTGCCAGAAGAGTTGGTGTTAATGTCTCTTTTGCAGCGTCTGGTTTACATGAGAGTGCCTTCTGTATTGGTAAGATACAACCCCTGAGATGGGAGACCATATTTGCTTTCTATTCCTCTGAGCTGAAAGTGTCTAAGCAGGAAATAGACCCCTTAAGCCAACTCACACTGCCGTAAGCTAAAAATGAATTTTTAATTACACCCTTTCCCCTCAAGATTAGAGAAATCTGGTTTTGTGAACTTTGGGATCTCCAAAGGTCAGTTCTGGTTAGTTTTAGGAACTAATGTATACATATTAGAGATAGTAACAGTAACAAACTTCTGACCATTCTTTTACATTATTTTGCTTTTTCAGCCATTCCATACAATCGCAAGGATTGGACACTTTTAACTAAAACTGAAGTTTACAGGCTTTGTGGACTCATCACCCTGTTCTTCCTCCTCACAACCAAGTCCTATGCGCCATGGGCTGGCTGTTGGGACTTCTTTTGGTTTGTAGTCTCTATTGAGCTGTGTCTGCCTTTTCCCTTAGTAACAGGGATGCCAGAGGCATTTTCCTACTCAAAGGTTCCCAGGGCATGTTGCACACCTTTGTTTCAAAAAGCCCAGCTTTGCACAGAGCAGATGTATTGGGCTGGTGAGACTCAGCATAACTGGATGTTTGACAGTAAGGTCCTGGTACATCTTTCAGGGAAATTTTCAGGTCCCCTGGTCCAGATCAGAAATACAAAAAGTTCTTCCCTGGGGAGTGGACAACCCTTGGGATTTATGAGAAACATGAGATTATTTAATTAAAATTACCAAATAGACTTCATTATTACCAGCACTTCACAGCATTTCAGCATCTCCCTGCTAGCTGATGGGGATTTAGAGTACCCTTGGAAAGTCTTCAGAGCATCCCTGGAAGGTTTTAAAAATTGCGGTTAGTCTTATTTTTAAGACACTGCATGCTTAGCCTGAATTAAAAGAAGGCTGCAGCTGTACAGATAGTAAAATATCAGTAAATAAGTCCTGTAAACACTGCTATTAAAACAGAGCTGAGGGTTTTGAACTGGCAATTTCCATGGTGAGGACTTCTACAGGCTGCCTCAGTTCTTCTTAGGCAAATGTGAACTTGGCGCAAACATGCGCTCAGCAGGCAGTTTCTAGCATATTGTTCTGAAAACAAGGGGGAAAATCTGAACCTCAGGCTTGAAGAGAGCCTGAGACTCGTTAGTACTGCAAAGAACAAAGATGTAAATGCCATTCATCAGAG